ATTTATCGTAGCACGAACCCTGATCTTAAACCATTATGAAAAAATAAAATACAATTCTGTCAAAAATCAATGAAGCGGAACAATATTCAAACTTGATCTTTAATTCAGATACATTCATACCAAAATTTAATTGGCTCAATATCTGCAAGAGTTTACCGGTCACGGTAGCCTAGTGGTAGAGCGTTCGCTTCGTGATCGGGAGGCCCGGGTTCGATTCTCGTTCGCGGCGCCGCGTCATACCTAAGACGTAAACAAAGGTAGTGACTGTTCCTTCGCCAAGCGCTCGGCACTAGAAGTGAAAGTCACGGGTCTTTCGGATATGACCTTAAAAACGTAGGTCCCGTGTCACGGTAGGCGCTGGCACGATAAAGAACCCTCACTGCTCAATGGCCCTGAGTGCCGAGTATAGGTCTAAATTTGAAGCCCTTCACCGGCATACGGTGACGTCTCCATATGAGTGAAAAATTCTCAAGAGGGACGTTAAACAACATACAATCAATCAATCAATCAATCTGCAAGAGTTTAGAAAAAGTGTGGACTGACTCAGAGGAATATATAGTTTCCTCCGGTTTAACCAGTAGGGGACTAATTAGTGCCTAGTTGTGGTGCATGTATAGTATATTTAAAGCAAGTTTCATTAAAATAAACACCCTACCATTGAAATATTGCTTAGAATCGTTACGTATGTAAATTCGAAATGTGGGTTGATTTTTCTCAAATTGTTACAAGTGCACCAGTTAGTCTATTAATTGGCAGTCAATAGCTAGGTATGAAAACATAAGAAAAACTGAAAACACATGCAGATAGGTGAAAATATGAAATCTCTGATAAAACAACCAAAAATTTTTTGATTTAGAAATAATTTCATCTATCTATTCTGTACATGCATGTTTTTAGTTCGCTTATCTTTTGAAACCAATCTATTGACTGCCAGTCGGTGAACTGATCTATTGACCGGCAACCTATTTTGGAAAAATCAATCCGGTTTTTTTTATTTATATACATGTATAGATATGGTAAACAATAATCAATCATCAATAATCATTTGATCTAAGCTTTACATAATTATTTTTAAAATATTTTTTGACACACTTTCCAGGCCTGACATTCATATTTGCTTTGTCCCCCCCCCCCTCCCCTCGAACCATTATGGGACAATTTTCTTTTCAATAGGAGGCATTAAGAAAGACGAAACTAATGGGAAAAACAACATTTTATTTATGCACATTTTAAACAAAACATCAAGCATGTGACTGGGGATTAACAAAATATTATTAAACTTAAGCATGATACCAAGGGTAAAAACAAATTAGACATCTTAGGCAGAATGCATGTGGTTACACCCTAAACAGAATGTATATTGTTAAGTTAGAAAAAATAGGTTATAATTCTCAGTTCTCATTAATTTATGCAAAAACTGGTATGTTTAGTGATAAAATTGGTTGAAAACAATGTGAAATACAATGTGTATGGGCTTTCTTACAAATTATTTCAATGGTATTGATATTTGAATTACATAATAATATGCTCTTAATGTATAATGAACAGTTCTGTGTATTGAGTGCAACTTGGATCCCAAATTTTAACAGGAAGCGACATGTAATGAAACAATAAGCTATTTAGTAAATTAAATGATACTAAATATACATTTGGCATAATGATAGGAGAACTCAAAAGGGAATGGAAAGGAAGTATAGGAGCATGAAGTAAGCTATACCTGTAGCCTTTTATAAATAATATAATAAACTTTAAACTAATACAAAAGCATGTAAAAAAATTGCAGATGTCAACATGTATCTCTTCAAGTAAAAATAAATACATCAAGTTTATCTACTTAATTACATATTGCATAGGTTTCCTTTGCTATAACTATGCAGGTATAATTATTCTCATTTTTGCGTGTAAAAGGTAAGAAACATATCTTAGTCTTACATGCAAGTATGTCAAAAACATAGCAATAGGAAAATCCTTGCATATTCATATATATAATGTACATGCATATGCACAGTAGTTGAAATTCAACAAAAGTTCAAAGTTAATGTATAATACATGTATATATTCTAATTGGATTGTGAAAGTACAAATAATCTCTATTCTTATCAATTCTAAAATAAAATATGCATATCATGCATGCATACCATACAAAAAAAAAACAAAAATTAGTTTCTTCTACACGAGTAGTTGTCTTCATCCTTTTGTTTTTAAGTATTTGTAATGTTGGAAACAACGTTGGAAACAAAATTTCCATAAAGTTCAACCATGATATGGTAGGGCATCCTCATAATCATCAACTGTGGAGCACAATTTTGTATTTTCATTTTCTTTCAGAAGTGAAGTTGCGACTGCAAATTTTTTTGTTGACCCCCCTACACAAACTTCACATTTTGGTGTTTTTTTTTTGTTGACATTATAGTTTTTTGACGCATAAAACACTTGCAACATTTGAATGTTGGAAGATCTTCATTGATTTCTACTGAAACGTTGCAAAGAGGGCAGCTGTTCTTTTGTTCGCAGGAGAGAGGTAACTTTGCATGTTTCTTTCTTGTCATCATATTTTTCTGGTGTAATACAATACCGATACTTAATCAAAATGCAGTACTTATTGAACGTAAGGGTAGTATGATCTATAAGCTGCATCAGCTTGCTTTGGAAATTGGTTTGTGTATTGTGCATTCGATAAAATAAGAGTTAGAATGGATTCCTAGAACTATGAATAAACTTGCAGACAAGTTAAGCACGCAACATTCATGATTATGATGATTGGGACAATGAAAATTGTGGACTGCGTCCCCACCTGTTTTGATCCGCAAAATTCATTGATATGCAAATATGTAAAGCATATTGGTGCATTAATTATTTCAAAATGGAAATCCGCTTTGTTTTTGGTCAATGGTTGGAATGAAAGGCAAAATAAATTTCAGGATCTTGTGCTGAATTTTTTTTAATATACATGTATATATACATATTCAAAAAAAATCACAGCTGGTTCAGCCAAAAACAGTATTTTTGCATCAGAAAATCTCAGAATAACGTATTGGTTTTAAAAGAAAATTTTTGGAACACCCTGAAAAGAAAACAATTTGAACACCATGTGCAACTCAGTGTACAGTATTAATGTATGCACCATGTGCAAAGCTTGAGTGAATAGTAATTTATTAGCAAAGGCACCATGTGCAAAAATTTCAGCACCATGTGCAAAAAAGATTTGTCGAATTGTTAAAAAACATCAGTTTTAATTTGGTGATAAAATATTTATGTCGATATGCATGCATTTGGATGTGATTGGTGGTTTATTATCTTAATATGAGAACATTTTTTCTCTAGGTACGGAGTGTTTGGAAGAAATTCAGGAAATGAAAAGGACAGCAGACTTTATTCAGCAACATCAAATATTCAGGAAAGTGAAGAGTGATAGTTAAAATAAAATATACTACACATATTTTTGAAAATTTTAGGACATGGTGTTGAGATCATGGTGTTTCTCACAGCATATTTAGTGGTTGAACAATTTCAATGTGTGCATTAATCCGTGTGATACAAGAATTCTGCATATAATAGCATATAATCTGCTCAATAGCAATGAGTGCCGAGGATAGGTTAAAATTTGCAGCTCTCCATCATTAAGTGGTGATTTCTCCACATGAGTGAAAAGTTCTCGAGATGGACGGTAAACACACTAACTAGCTTAATTAAGCCTTTGATTAGGAGGGCTAAAAATACAACATACCAATGAAGCATAAATACGAGGGTTGTCCCAAAAAGTCGCAGACAATGGTAATAACTTTTTTAACGCGCAACCATTACTAACCAAATTTTGCATAGACATAATACATTCAATGTTCTTTAAAATTGTGAATTCTTAATTATATATCTTTCATATTAATTAAATTGGGACGATTTATATGAAGACCGATATGGTCTGTCGGCGCACGGCCAAAATTTGGAATAATTTAGTTTTGTTTTGATTTCTATGGTACTATGCAAAAGATTGTATTAAAATTTAAATCACTAAAACCAGAATCAAAATCTTAATAATATGTCAAAATTTCATGTAAATAGCTTTAGAAACAGACGGCTGGTGGCATGATTTTCAAAGTATTGTTCGAATTGAGATTGGTGAAAATGACGTCGTCGAACGCGTACCCTGCGCACGGAAATGTAAGAAATTGTGTTTTGTATATTTTATATTCATCAGAGACGGGGGAAAGAGTACAGAAAGGACAGTACACACTATATTTTAATAGAAAAGTTGTTTTTTTATAAGATGAGATTCATAAGTTTTTCCTCTATATCGAAAAAAAAGGTTAATGCATGTAAAGTAGAGTACTGATTGTTTAACGCAGACATTTGGGAACGTTCTGGGCCATGAACGTCGTCAAACAAGGTGTATCCTCTGCTGTCTAAAATGTAAGGTGATCTTTCAAATAATTTAATTTTGACTAAAATTTGAATCTACTTACGAAAACGGACAGTAGTGAATTTAAATGATTCCCTTAGTCAAGAGTGATTTTTCACTATAAAAAATAGTCATTTGGATGTTCATAGCCTCATGTTGCAGAAAAAGGGAGCATGACGTTATGAGAGACGTAAATTACGCTTGCTTTTGTGCGCCGATGTACACTTACACGGTTTCTTTATTTTTTCATTATTTTCTTATTAAATGTGGTTTCGTCATGAAACTAAAAATATATGATCATAGAATGTTACTCTTTCCTATTAAAGGAAAAGAAATTTGATTTAGCATAGAGAAAATAAACTATGTTCCCTGTCTACGACTTTTTGGGACAACCCTCGTATAATTAAAGGTGATTGAAAAACAAAGGCATACCTTTGAACTTCGCATTTTCCCCTTCACACATGCTGTTCGAATGCCAAGGGGACATTATTATTTCTCTTTATTGATATGTACCTACCCGGTAATTGCTCATGTGTTCGGGGAAAATATTTCTGTTCTCTCTTTGTCATATCCAGACTAGCATACATGGACGAGATCCTGTGTCTCATTTTGTAGTTGTGAGAGCAATGTCCATGCCCGCCCTCTCGCACACTTCTGACACAGCATACCAACCCGAGCAATGGGATAATTCATTTTTTGTGGCAAACAGTAAGCAGTTCTCCTCCCTGATACCGAATTCTGTTCTGTACATAGTCAAAATGCTAACAGCAGAAATCCTTACTGATAACTCACATATTAATCCAGCTAACATAATAACAATTTCTTGTACTTTTTTCTCTTCGTTTTGTTTTATTTTCAATTTAATTTGTCCATGATCTTGCATATGAAGAAACCTTTAAACGTACTTAACATTAAACCAGAGGTATAAAAATGATCAATAATAAAAGAAATGGCAAACAAAAGATAGCGGGGGGGGGGGGTGAAGAAATTGTGAATAGTTGCACACTATTGTCCCTGGCTTTAGTTGATGGTTGTAGTTGTACAGGTGCACACTATGGTCCCTGGCTTTATTTTGTGGTCAATATCACAGATACTAGAATCCCCTCTCTGTTCACGGAACTCGCCATCTCATGAAACTACTAGTACCCGCACCGTCTTTAACTTCGAAGTAGAAGTCAGAACTCCGACCCTTTGTGCGACAGGTATTTTCGAGCTTCCCCTTCCTCAAAAACCAGGAAAAAGTCTTACAGGGATTTCTTTAAAAGAAAGCAATATAGTAAACAAGGTATGTCACTCATATAGTAGTCATTATAATATAGACTCATCCTAAGATTTTATATACAAGTATTCAAATTCGTTCAGATCATGACCCCTTTGTCTAGGAGGGTGGGAATCTATGGTGCAGTCTTAAAAAACCTTTCCAGCTGAGGTGATATTTACAATAAAGTATCTACATGTAGTAAACTTAAAATTTTGCTTGATGTCTTTCCCTCTTCCTTCGTTTAGCACTTTTACATATCCTGCAAGTCTTGCTACTGTGTTTATTACTTAGATATGTATAGATATTGTCCAACACATGTATAAATAAATTACATACTAACGAGTCCGTTTTAAGCTCATGTCCAAAGTCTTTGGAGTAAGCTGCTTTAAGAATCTTAAACTTTTGTCCTGCTCGTAGCTTTGCTGCTATGTTGGACTTAAAAGTTGACAGAATTTGAATTTCTCCATCTGCAAGGAGAACAAATACTTCACGGTCTTGCCTGAAGGGGAATATCTAGATTTAATGGGCCTAGTATCCCCACTCTCTAGCACTAATAATTTGATGTTCTTAAAAAAAGTAACAGTTACTATTCCATATATTAATCATATTTGTGCTTATCCATTTAGTACTTAACTATCGATAAAATACATGTACATGAATCTGTTTGAAAGATTGCTTGAAATGTTGATTTAAATGTCAAGTTTGGTGACTTAAGAAAGGGAGAAGGTGATTACCACATGATATTCAGACATTATTGAATAATATTTTAGGCATCTTGGAAAAAATCTGATTTTGCAGATTTTATTGACAGTGGAAAGTATATACCTTTAAAACCTCCACTGGCCCCAAAGAAAATCTAATGGTATTAGCCAGGCTGAAGGCTGCGCAGAAAGATTTCAATGGCGGATTATAAAATTCCTCTACCTTCTTTGTCTCTTCCTCTCGAAGGATGTTTCCATGATCTATTATAATTGAATTATACAGTGATAAAGCCAATTTATAATTCATATCAGCTGTTTGTGTGTGTTTGTGTTTATTACGTAAGATATATATAGATATTGTCCAACAATGTATAAATAAATTACATACTATCGAGTCCGTTTTAAGCTCGTATCCAAAATCTTTGGAGTAAGCTGTTTTAAGAATCTTAAACTTTTGTCCTGTTTTTAGTTTTGCTGCCATGTTGTGCTTTAAAGTTGAGAGGGTTTTAATTTCTCCGTCTGTAAGAACAGAGAACAAATATTTCACGGTCTTTCCCGAAAGAGAATATCTAGATTTGATGGGTCTAGTATCCCCACTTCCTAGGACCAATATCTTGATGATCTAAACAAAAAAATTAAATACCCTGGGACCATGAAATTCACAATCTAGTAAACGCACTCTTACTTATCATAACTATGTACTTGGTTAGTTTATTTAATACCGAGAAGCAGAAAAAAAAAATTCAAAGAATTAATGTATTGTTACTATATAACCATTATAGAGCCCCGCCCTAACACAAGAACCCCTGACCCCGGGGCCATAAAATTCACAATTTTAAAAGTGGCAATCTTGCTCATCATAACAATGTTCTTTTGATACCTAGGAGAAGAAAAGACGATTTTTAAAGAAATAATGCATTTTCACTATATAATCAATATAGCCCCGCCCTAGCACTAGAACCTCTGACCCCTGGGTCAATGAATTTCACAATTTTGTTAGAGGACTTAATGGTTATTACATTCATGCTAAATGAAAAAAAGTGATCTACATGTACCCCCGTACATGTTTATTGGAAAAGTATGTGTACCCGTAACCGGGGGGGTACATGCAGATCATTTTTTTCAATTAGTTTTGCATATATTTTAAAAAGACATGGAATGAAAATCAATTTTCTGTAAGCTTGTATCCAGTGTTTGCCTAAGCAATCCAAACACATCATTGTCTGTTATGGTAGCCTAGTGGTAGGGCATTCACTTTGTATAATCATGACATTCTCAAATAACATTAATAATCAAAGTATCATTTACAAATCATGTCACCTTAAGCAGAAGCAAATGTATTTGACATAATGTCATAGTGTCTGAACACCCATTTTAGTGATTAATACTATTTTCCTTGAAATTTTCATTAAATACATGTATAATGAAATATAAAGTGGGGATTTTACAAGGCTAACAGAGAGCGTCTGAACTGTATAACAGATAATATACTGATGTGTCTGTGACTGTGTATTTCTATCACTGTGTATTAATATCAATGCCCTAGCACTAGAACCCCTGGGTCCATGAATTTCACAATTTTGTTAGAGGACTCAATGGTTATTACATTCATGCTAACAGTTTGACTGCTTGATGTCCAGGAGTATAGAAAAAGATTTTTAAAGATTGCATTAATTTTAGTGGTTTTCGCCCCACCCCCAGGCCCCAGGGGGGGATCATGAAATTAACAATTTTTGTTCCCCTTCACACTTAGATGCTTTGTGCCAAATTTGGTTGAAATTGGTTCAGTGGTTGCAGAGAAGAAGCTGAAAATGTTCAAAAGGTTACGACCGATTGACGACGTACGACAGACGACGACGGACGAAAACGGATAGCAATAGGTCACCTGAGTGACTCAGGTGACCTTAAAATAGAGGTAGATACAAGGAAACCAAACAACTTTTATGAACAGAAAGGGAAGGCTAACAGCTTCAACCTTTGGGAAGGTGATGCACAAGAAAGCAAGGCCTTCAGATTCTTTTTTAAGAGACTTTTTCAACAGGTCTTCTAAATCATCCCCTGCAATGGATTACAGTCGCAAACATGAACAGGATGGAATAGTGGAAATACCTCGAAACATTTCCTTCTCGACATTTACATGAATGTGGATTAGTAATTAATAATGAATTTAAGTTTTTAACTGCATCACCAGATGGTGTAGTTTGCGATAATGGGGATTCTGGACTCATCGAAGTTAAGATTTACCAGCTGTTTATTTGAGAAAAAATGGAAACAACATTAATTTTAAGAAAAATCATAACTACTATGCACAGATACAAGGGCAACTCATGATAACAGGTTGTAGATTCTGTGACTTCGTTATATATACACAGAAAAGTATATTTGTCGAGCGCATACTTCCTGATATTGGAGAGGTTAAGCATATGACCGTGTACGTCTACGTGTACGTGTAGTTAGGGAAATCCCCTAATTTAATGCGATTTACGTCATCAGTTTTGCTTACCGCGTAAATCTACAAGTTGTACACAACGTGTAGATTCGCAAGTACACGTAGGTGAAAACTTGTAGCTTCTTAAACTCAAACTACGCAATAAATATTTTTCAGTCGGTATTTGGTGTGAAGTTGAGAATTTATTACACACATCCAATGTATCTTTTTTATTTTAAGTTATAGATTTATTTGATACAAATGGATTGTAAAGTGCCTTGCTGAAATGAAGTTTTACACGTACCGGTACACGTTCAATTTGTTAAACAGAACACGACATAGTTACGCGTACGTGTAAAATCACTTCTAGGTTTACACGTACAAGTAGACGTACACGGTCAAATGCTTACTTTATGAAAACAATGTTGTCAAAACTGAGTAGCTTCATGAAAGACTATGGTAGTTAAATTAAATTACCTACAAAATGTTTTACATCTTTCACTTGACTGTGTGCTTTGCACAAAGGTTCCATTGGATTCAGTTTCATTGAGCTCTTGAGGATCCGAGTTTTCCCTAAAAGACACATTGTCACAATGTCAGTTGTGTATGAATTTCAATGTTTATTCATGTAATTGATAAATAATTTGATCAATTTTCTACTCTTGGAAAAATTCTATAAATATATGGGTATAATAATGAAGCTTGCAAGGATAAAAATTTTCATACTTATCCAAAAATATTTCCTCCAGCTTCTGATTTTTTCCCATGGTGTTGGTTTTGAAGACTTGCATGCTTTCCGTTTCTTTGGTAAGGGTCAACTTGGAGTGCATGTACCTACACATGCAGGAATAGGATCTGGATATAACTGAGTGGGTCCATTTTCCCCCAATGAAGTGCTGTTTAAATGCACAAAATATATTAAACAAATTAAATAATGCGCGTGGATTCTTGAGATGGTTATTTCTCATAATCAAAACTTACGCCTCACAAGTGTATTACACTATCAGTACACAGTTTCAAGGGTACTTGTATTAAACAGGTCCAACACAATCTCTCTCTCTATCTCTCTATGTTCGTATATATCTATATTGCCTCAATCAAGAGATTGTGATGGACCTGTTCAACAGTGCATGCTAAAAATAATTTAAACATGCCTCTTAGCAATAACCTGATCCATCCTAGATCTGGGCTTGACACCCTCGTTGAGTAAATATGCACCTATGCTACATACATTAAAAGCCTAGTACTTCCGGGTATAAATTTCGTCATCTTTATAAGGCCTACATACAGTCTGTATGTGTAATACATAAACAGATAAAATGTCTCTCAGTCAGAATTAATAACACCAAAGCACAGGCCACAACCACCTGCATTTTGCATTTTACATTTACTTTACTGCACACAACTTTGTTTCTATTTCCGTCAACATTGTTAACATTTAGTTGATGATGAGGACGACCACATGCTTTTATCCATCTTAAACACTTTTCTTGATCCTTTTTAGGCTGTGGAAACGGAATTAATCGAACTCTAATTAATCTTTCGGGATATCTTTCGTCTGAATTGCAAGTACCCCACACACATCTTCTTACCATCGTTGAAAAATATCACGTATCACATTATCGCTGCATTCTGTTTGTGATGCATATCGCATCTCATGAAAGTTACAGATGCGGGCTGAATAAATCGAATTATTTGATTGGCTGAATAATTCTATCTCATTTAAATATCGGATCGATGGATATTAACCCCTTATTATAGGGGCCAGCCCCTTTTCCTTGATCTTATATAACAGCTCTCGTAATCATGCACAACTTTTGTAATACATGTATATTTCGTACCAAAGTATTATCAATTCAAAAGTTATTACACAAAAAGTAGCAAAATTTCAAGGAAAAAAAAATTACTAAAATTTGCCGTCATATAGCTTCCGATCTTTAAGAAATCAGCTCATAATTTTATCGTTCTGCACATCTACAATGTATTGGATACAGGTTCTTCAACTTTCGTGTAATTAACATATGTCGTTCTTGAGATTTTTTGTGGACACGAGACCTCAAAATCATCAATTAAAGGTCAATAACTCAAATAAAGGCTTGTATCAAAAAATTGAAAACAGTTGTAAATAGGTGTAAGTACAAGGTATCTAACCTGAAAGTTTCAGAAAAATCAGTCTAAAGGTCTTTGAGAAATCGCCTGTCAAAAATTCGGCGGGAAAAAAGCATCTAATATTAAAAAACAGTAGAATAACAGTAGGGTCTTCCAAAGGAAGCTCGGAAAACCCTAATAATAAGAAACGGAATAAAAACAGTATTCGTCGGGGAACATAATTATGCAGTGCGTAAATACTTCAATAGAAATTACAATAATACTAAACATCTTTTTAAGCGGCTGCCAAACTTTTTGCATTATGTTACACGTGGCGATGTCGATGATGATAATGGACACTTTAATAAATGTGATAACAAGTACTTATGATGTTGATTTAAGGTTCATAAACCCTCTGCTTACTAATATAAAATGTTGCTTGAACCTTACTGATTTTCTAAAAGAATTGCATTTTATAAGTAAAAAACAAACAATTATAACATAGCTTGCGGGGTAATATTAGACAAAAAAGACACTTCAACTTGGCAAATCTATAAAGGAACTAGTTCTAATTGTAACGGGGACCGTTACAGATGTTCCCCAAACGCTCCCCAACTCCCTTTTTGTGCAAATTTCCTTTAAAACTTTTTTCAATATGCTTACTAATAGTATCGCAGGATTTCATAAAAGAATTTTAAAAGCTACAATGATATCAACTTTTTGTCATTTAACACATTGTTCGCAAACGCGCGTGCATGCACATGCAAGGTGATCATGAAATGTTGTCTAAACCATTAACATATCTTTATATTCCAGAAATCAATAACAACTCATGAAAATAAAATTTTTTACAGTTTTGCGTGTGCGCATGTGCATGCAAGCACGTCCTTGCATTCAATTTTGATAACAATATCATGTAGGAATCCATAATACCTATTCATATTCTAAACTTCATCCTGTTTTGTTGAGAAACAAGAAAGATATAGGCATGTAAAGTTTCAGCCAATCAGATTGCAGCACACGTGGATTTATGTGCTTTCATGATAATTCTTATATTTCATGCAGTAGATCTTCATAATATGTGACTAAGTTCAAAATTTCAAAGGATTATGACGTAAAACAAGAAATATATTGAGACTTTAGTTTCAGCCAATCACTGCAAAGCGCACGTGCATGCGCGTAATATCTTGCAATTTTGACCATGTCATCTTGTCCATACTACTACTATATTCATGCATTGTGGGTTTCAAAAAATTCCATCAAGAAATAGAAAAGTTACAGCTTTATCCATTATCTTGGTAATTTCACATGTTGCACGTGCGCGCTCTTGCCAGCACACGCGTATGTACGTGCTTTCATGAAAATTATTATATATCAAGCTGTAGATCTTCATATTGTGTGACTAAGTTCAAAATTTCAAAGGATTATGACGAAAAACAAGAAAGATATTGAGACTTTAGTTTCAGCCAATCAGAGCGAAGCGCACGTGCATGCACGTGAGATCTTGCTATTTTGACCATGTCAAAACGTCTATACTACTAATATATACTTATATTATGAGTATCAAAGCATTTAATCAAAAAATAGAAAAATTACGGCTGTATCTATTATTTTGGTCATTTCACGCGTTGCACGTGCGCGCTCTTGCAAGCACGTGCGCGCAAAATGACCTTCGTTCCGCAAATCTACATAACATGCCTACTGACCCTAAAAAGGTTTCACCTAAGTCGGACGTGTAGTTTACAAGATCATTCGCGGAAAAGATTTTCCCAGGAAGAAGAAAAATAATAATAATAATAATAAGAAGAAACAGAGTAAAAACAATATGTTCCCCAACTTCGTTTGGGGAACATAATAATGGACGTTTGTGTCATTGAGAGTTATCTCTCTTATCAGAGTATCAATGAACCTTAACAAACTCAAACTATTTTGAACTTTTAGTAAATCATAAAAAAGTACTCATGATGTTGATGAAACAAACTCAAACTATTTTGAACTTTTAGTAAATCATATATAGATATATATCTGATTTAAAAACAAAATTGATAAGTAACTATATCAATCAATCTTTATTGCATTATAAATTAAGCCATTAAAAAAATTCATATATTTCGATAACTTTTGTTTTGAAAAAAAATCTTGAATTAATCATTCGAAGCAATGATAAATAGCAACCATTTTCCAAATAGATAGTTCAGTCTCTGATGCAATTGATATAGGTCTAATGAATGAGTTTAAAAAATCAAAATTTAATGTGAAATGAATGAAGAGACCTTGTAAATATAGATGTAGTTGACTGTAAAAAATAAAGTCATGCTCATTCATTTGTACAGATTTTTGCCATATGAGGATTAACTGCCTTTGTAAATGTTGACTGCGTGGTGTTGTAAGCTCTTTGGCCTCAGAACTCGTTGGCCGCCTTTATTGCATGCACTTCGTATAGTGATCCAATTACTATGGAAGGATGCTCAGCCTTTACACCCCAAAGGGTGGGTACGGCCGAGCGGCCATCCATAGCAAGTTGAACCTCCCTCCGTGTAATTGAAGTTGCTGAGATGTCTCCAATCTTTATAGAAAAAAGAATATAGAAGTAATATCTTTATCTACATTTTCCTGCCGGATGGTCTCAAAGTTGATGTGATCCCCTGCTCATGGCCATCGGACAAGAAAAGGAAAGCTTACTGGCCTGTGTGTAGGAATTTAGACAAGATCCATGCTGCTGAACAACATCAGGTGCAGATTATATGTTCCTGGATGTCAGAGAGCTGCATGAATCTGATACGCTACTCTCCTCTTGAACCCTTGACATACGGTGGGTTAATAAGGAGAGGAGCGTATCCAAAAACCCTTGGCTAGCGAAGATGTATTGTAAAGTACAGACGGAAATGTGCAAATCATATAGAGGAAATAATAGACTATGAATTTATATTAGACACTACATAATCCCAAGATTGGCAAACAATACACAAGAAATCCTTTCTCTAGGATTGCGAGATTACGAGAAATCCGATGAAGGACGTGATCAAGCGTCAGAATAGCCAAACCTAAAATCGTTATGCAACTCTCAGGTTGTCATGAAATCAAAGTGAAATAAATATTGAAACTCTGAAAGGCATTGCTTTATTAAAACATGATCATCATTTTTGTTTAAATCATACAAATTACCTATTAATTATAATTGTAAAGTCCAGACGAAATTGTGAAATGACGTTATTATACCTCCCGCAAACGAAATTGGGGGGGGGGGGGGGGTATATAGGAATCACCTTATCCGTCTGTCTGTGCAATCGTGTCCGGTCCATATCTTTCTTACAGAGGGACATTAGAATCTACTACTCCACACTAAGATTGCTCATGATCTAAGGGTGTGTCATGATCTTGACCCAAGGTCATTTGGGGAAGTTCAAGGTAAATGGAAGAAAATTTTCATAATTCGTGTCCTATCCATATCTTTCTTATGGATTAACTTAGTAGGTTCTCATTTCACACAAAGATTGCTCATGATCTAAGGGTGTGTCATGACCTTGACCCAAGGTCATTTGGGGAAGTTCAAGGTCACTGGAAGAAAAATTTCATAATTCGTGTCCGGTCCATATCTTTCTTATGGATAAACTCGGTAGGTTCTCATTTCACACAAAGATTGCCCATGACCTACAAAAGTGTCACGACCTTGACCCAAGGTCATTTTGGGAAGTTCAAGGTCACTGGAAGAAAATTTTCATAATTCGTGTCTTGTCCATATCTTCCTTATGGATAAACTAGGTAGATTTTCATTTTACACAAAGATTGCCCATGACCCAAGGGTGTGTCATGACCTTGACCTAAGGTCATTTGGGGAAGTTCAAGGTCACTGGAAGAAAAATTTTTAATAATTAGTGTCCGGTCCATATCTTTCTTTTGGATAAATTTGGTAGGTTCTCATTTACACAAAGATTGCCCATGACCCAAGGGTGTGTCATGACCTTGACCCAAGGTCATTTGGAGAAGTTCAAGGTCATTGGAAGAAAAATTTCATAATTTGTATCGGGTCCATATCTTTCTCATGGATAAACTTGTTATGTTCTCTCTTCACACAAAGATTGCCCATGACCTAAGGGTGTGTTATGACCTTGACCCAAGGTCATTTGGGGAAGTTGAAGGTCACTGGAAGAAAAAACTATAATTCGTGTCCGGTCCATATCTTTCTTATGGATAAACTTGATAGGTTCTTATTTCACTCTAAGATTGCCCATGACCCACAGGTGTGTCATGACCTTGACCCAAGGTCACTTGGGGAAGTTCAAGGTCACTGGAAGAAAATTTTCATAATTCGTGTTTGATACATATTTTTTTTATGGAAAAACTTACTTTTGAAAAACCCAGCGGGGGTATTTTGTCCCATTTGGAAAGTTCTAGTTTACATATACTTATTGTATCTCTAATTGTAGAACAATGCATGATGATCAAAACTGAGAACTGCAGATTTGATTAACCTTCTTTCTCCAAAAACCCTGATCTTAAGGATTTTTCTTGTAATCCGTTGAGCTTTGAGAGATTGAGAGTCTCCTCTAT